AGGGGGGGGGAGAGATTAGCCATGACTGAAGACCCAGTGAGAACGAGACTGGGCCTAGGTCAATGTTTGCTGAACGGAGAGAAACGACAAAAGCTTTGGGCTTTAGACTATTTACTTGGGAAAATACCCTGCAGTTTTTCCTTTTGTCTCGCTACATCGTTAACGGTAGAGTGTCTTGTGCACTGTCGATAGACGTGGGGAAGTCTCAGTAAAAGATACAAATAGCTCTAGTTTTGACTTTTGCGCAGTCTAGTTCTCAGATCTTCAATCTTGCTATTTTTATAGAGTACCTTGTCTTCGGTCTGTCTGCTGGGATGTTGTATTCCTCTCAGCCCGGGAGAATTTTACCTTTGATCTCAACCTTATCTTTTTTTTTAGCCCCGCCCTCATTTTGATCCACCCGTCTTTTGACCCACCACCCGCCACTGCATCTGCTCTGTTTGACGTGTGTAATCTGCCAGCCTTCACCACAGCCGTTACACTTTCTGATACTCTCAGATATACTTCGGTATTCCGATACTCCCGCCAATCTAGGCTTTGATGTCATCGGCCTTCGTATAGCTTACGAAACCATAACGTGAATCGTGCTGACAAAATAGTCACTTCTCGCAATCCACGAATGGAGATTTTAGCTGAAGCTATTTAAGCTTAGAGCCAAGGTCCACATACTCCGCTTTCGTACCCTTAGGTACTCACAAAGTGCGTATAGAAGCGTTCCACCTTTTATTTCTACATTACCTGGACTCACTGCGGACGACACGCTTCCTCACGCTTAGGCGGACCCTCCATAGACGGCACACGGCACATGACTGACTGTCTTGTCGGCACGTGCCGTGCCACAGGCCAATACCCCTCCCTCCCTCCTTAGGCCATAGCACGACATCACAACTCAACACATTACAACCATGGATTCGTCTGATGAAGATACGCTGATCATGTTAGCAATTCTAAATAATCGGAAAAAGAAGTGGAAAAAGCGGACCATGTGGTGCTGAGAACATTTTCTATTGAGGGTAGTAGAGGAGAGTTTCATCGAAATTTCAGCTCCTTGATGAGACGTAGAGATGAGACCTTGTTCTTCAATTACCTAAGAATGTCATACGGAACGTCTTTGATCTTTGTTGTGATACTCCGGGTTTTGGGGGTCCCAAAGAAGCTGTCGGTCTCTCACAATTTCAATAATTTTTCTTGTAGTCATCCATTTTGGCAGCACAAGACACAAAAAACGAGCAATGCAGCACAGCAAGGCACGCAAGGTTTCGTCGTGGCTGTGTCGTGCGTCACTGGAGTGTGCAACTCTATATCATATGGTTGTGTTTAATTATATTTCGCATGCGTGCCATGCGCCGCGTGCCGTCTATGGAGGGTCTGCCTTACGTGAAAAACGTATGACGTCTAGCATGTCAAACATTGTCCGCACGGGCTGTGCGGTTTTAAAAGTCGATTCTTTTGTTTGAACACTTTTACTTTTAAAATTAAATTAATGCCACTTGACTTTAATCTCAGTAGTTTCAGTCCTAAACTGTGGTTTTGGTTTCTTCGTTTGACATGTGATTTAAGAATTGCCAATAAAGCTACATCATTGTTAATTATTGAATTTGTTATTCTGAATTCCAATAGGCTTATAGGTCATTGTTATTTGTTTATTTCTGCTCCCTTTTTTTTTTCAAAGTAAACAAATGTGCCAGAAAAGAACACGCTGTTTGGGAAGCTCACAGTGGGCTCTTACTTAAATAACGGATACGGCAGAGACCATTTACGTAGGTCATATACTACCGTGACATCATCATCATCATCATCAACCATCATCAACCATCATCAACCATCATCCTCCACCATCCTCCACCATCTTCCACAACAACAGAAGCAGCAAGAAGCAACAACAACATGTTACGCAAGGCCTCACACACAGTGCACGCTTCTCCGACGCGTCTTTCTCCGAAAAAGTTGCATCGCCAAATTTTATTAACAATGGATTGAATGCACGGCGCTACAGTGGGCGCGGAGCAGACGCAGCGCTGGACAGAGCAGAAAAAGTTCAGCGTGTGCACTTGCTGCTGAAATAAAATTTCGAGCGTCTACTGTGCGGCTGAACTGTTGTGGCGTGATTGTGTAGTGTGTAGTCATAGTGAATTGTTGCATTTTGACTAGATCTACAATGGAGTCGGAGGCATGAATACACGCAGTTGAAAAAAGATGTCTTTATGACAAAGCAGATCAAAACTACTGCTTCAGGGCCATGATATCGGCCGAATGGAAGAAAAGTAGCCAACGAAGTTGAATGCAATGGTTTGAACTTTCTTTCTTTCTTTCTTTCTGTCTGTCTATCCGTCTGTTTGTCTGAACGTATGTACACTGTACAACATGTATACTTGTTTCAAACTATAGGCCTGCTGTAGCTTATTAAAGAGAGAGGCAATGATAACCCTTTTTCAATGAGAGTGTGGACTGATCAGACGTTATAGCATTTGCTGTTTTGCCATGGCAATGCACCCTGCGGTGACGAGAAATATCCCATGAAAGCATTTCTCACTTCCATTCCACTTTTGGTAGCTCTGCTCCTTATAACTCCTGGTCTGTCGAACGTTGGTAGGCCTGCTTGTGGCTCAACCACGTCATCCTCAATGTGCCGTAGCACCGATCTTCTAGGTTCTTGCATGATAATGAAATTGTGGAGCACTGTGATGGCCTTGACTGCATCTGTTGCCGATTCTGGCTGTTCATCCATTTGGCGCCACATTTGGGGAATCCTAACAAAAGAGCATTCAACTGAATTCCTCGCACGTGATAGGTGATAATTGAAAAGCTCTTTGTCATGAGTTAATTGTGTGTTTGGAGATGGCTTCATCAAATTTCCTCTGAATGGAAATGAATTCATCTGCTACGAATACAAATGGGAGGGTTGTGTCACTGTCTGTATCCTGTGGTAAATCCAGCTTGTCAGCCAGCAGTCTTTTTCCAAATTCAAACTCTCTTTTGCTGACAGGGGTTTCCAGAAATTGGTAGTTCGCTTCTCTATGTAGGGTCCAATTTCGTCCAACAAGAGCTAAACTGTTGAGTGTCTCATCCGGATATATTTCAGGCATTTTTCTTCGTCTGAAAGGATTTCTGCCATCAGGTGATGGTATTCACCCTATATTATGTGTCTCTTTTTATTGATTTTATGTGTGGGTGGTTGGCGGGTGCTCTGGTGTGGTTTCCTTCTTCTTTCCTATCAAACATCTATCGTCTTTATCTCCCCTCCTTCTTTTTTATGTTAGTTTCTCTCTTGTAACACCTCTAATCTTCGGCACTTATATGACCTTATTGTGTTGCAAGTGCCGTAAAACTCTTACTAAAACTAAAACTTTTTTAAAAAAAACTGATTCTATGTACCCAATATCTACCGCGGGATCGTCTCCTGTTATGGAGACATGAAAGCATCAACAATTGAAGAACCTCTCTAGCCATCCTCATCGACTGACTCGTGGCCGAATGAACCGACTGAACCGAAAGACGCAGCCACTGTGTTTGCTAGAAAAGAAGTCGGAACAGACGCGGCGAGTAACTTTAAAGTGCATCGCTGCAGCTGAGGCCACTATGTCTGCGCACCAACTGTCAGCCTTTCAATTTGTGGCATGGCCTTCCTCCAGTTCGTATTATGTTTTTGAATATGTAATGTAGTCCACATAAATTCAAAAAGGCTTCGGAAGCTTGCCTTCGTCAAGCGAAAATGATATGCTAAACATTTTCTGTTATCAAGAATTTGGTGTAACATTCTAAATTCTCCAGTTTTGCCTCGTCCTTTGAATATGGGTAGTACCCAGAATAGGCGGCGACCTTTCATCTCCTCTTCAACCACTGCCATAAAAAAAATATGTAATCCTCGTTAACGCCATTTCTCTAGATCTACATCTACGTCTGGTGCGCAAAATATTACCGTACGTGTGAGGACATTGTGGACACGGGCTAGCCGCTACGTTAACGTACGTACTTTGTGATGAAGCGTGAGGAAGCGGAAGTACTGGCGCTGTGGACCCCGGCTCTAATGTCTTTTATCATTTCTTATAACTGTGCAAATCCAGTCTATGAATGTGATGTATCTGTCGGTGTCCATAGAGACAATATAACCGAGAACTGACTCCGTTTAGTTTTAGTAAGGGTTTCACGGCACTTGCAACACAATAAGGTCGTATAAGTGTCGAAGATTAGATGCGCTACAAGAGAGTAACAAACACAAAAGGAGGAGAGATCAGAAAGATAGACGTTTGGTAAAAAGAAGGAGCAAACCACACCAGAGCACCCGCCAACCACCCACAGAATTGCCTCAACATGTCGCACACCACACAAATAAATGCAGAAACACAAACAAACAAACACTACATAAACACCACACAAATAAATGCAGAAACACAAACAAACAAACACTACACATGTATTACCACACGGCACAAATGAATGCAAAAACGCAATGATGAGCACTCATTACTTTATTCAAGTATTCTCTACCACCACAATCTTGGGTCAACGACATGGCCTAGTCAGCAAAGCAGAGTCCTCTGTAGATCTACGAGCTTCTGTGCCAGTCAGCCATGACCTTGACCTACTTCGGGGGGGGGGGGGTCTTCTGTCTATGAGAGAGACCTACTTCTTGGGGGGGGGGGGATATTCTGTCTTTGAGAGAGAGAGAGACCGTTAGACGGAGGAACACTGGCTCGTCACTTCCACGTCGTTGAGGAAAAACTCGGCGTTACATCCGCCACAGTAGTTGGCCCTGCAAGGAGAAGTTCAACATATTTAGCTATATAAATCTCTCTATATCTATCTCTTTATCTATATCTATCTCTCTCTATCTATATCTATCTCTCTCTATCTATATCTATCTCTCTCTATCTATATCTATCTCTCTCTATCTATATCTATCTCTCTCTATCTATATCTATCTCTCTCTATCTATATCTATCTCTCTCTATCTCTATCTCTATATCTATCTCTATATCTATCTCTATATCTATCTCTATATCTATCTCTATATCTATCTCCCTATATCTATCTCCCTATCTATCTCCATATCTATCTCCATATCTATCTCCATATCTATCTCCATATCTATCTCCATATCTATCTCCATATCTATCTCCATATCTACACATTATGTAACGTCGTGGAGAAATCAGGTGCTTGTCAAAATAATGAAACTGAAAAAAATGTGCTATACTATATTCGTGAATAGTTATCAAATATACCCCTCCCCACCCGCCAAAAACAAGGAACCTCTGGCCTTAACGTGCAACATCCGTGGTCACAGTGGGCTGACCGACTTTGTGGTTTTTATCATCATCCATCATCATCCATCACCATCCATCATCCATCATCATCCATCACCATCCATCATCCATCCATCATCCATCATTCATCAGAGAAGTCCGAAAGAAAACGCAGCAGTTCCCCCTATGTTGTTCCGGCACAGTTATGAGCACGACATTGATGAATCAGCCCATTTACAATTCTACTGTGCATAAGAACATGGTAATATACCCCCTTTGGGAATGGCCTAAAGACAACTTCAGTCAGTAGCACTGCCCTGGTTGGGGGTTGGGGGGGGGGGGGAGGTGAGGGGTCAGGTCAGCCTGGGTTAGCCCTGCGCCCCGAGAGACAGGGTCAAATCCCGCCTCCTGGAGTGTCCAAATTGTGCCGATGTCGACGTGAAAAAAAGACCCAAACAACGTATTTTTAGATAGGTTCTCACCTGCACTCGGCGTTCGGGTGTTCGGGACACTCAGCAAACATGCAGGGGTTGAAGAAACAGTTCTCCTCCACACACGGCGCGGCGTCTGATCACACAGAAACACATACAGGGTCAGGGTTTGGTTTTGTCTTTTTTGTTTTGTCTTTGTTGTCTTTTGTGTGTGTGGGAGGGGGGTTACGGTGCTTGCAACTGCATGAGGCCATAATTAATATGTGCACGCCGGACACATTGCTTATTTTAGGTTTGGCAGGAATTACATTGGAATGTAGCTTGGGTGGCGGTCACAGCCTACTTTTGTCGACCGATTTTTGGACCACCAAGGGATCTTTAACTTACACAACATGCACACGGAACTCCCGAGATTTCTTTGCCCTTCTCCGAGAAGGTTAAGGGTTAGATCTTACCTACCCTAAGATCAGGGGTGCAACTAAAAGGCAGCAGTAAGAAGTAGCCAAGGAGAAGCAGTAGAACGGCAGCAGAAATAGTCAGGAGCCTAGAGGACTAGGCAGAAAGAGTGTGCGTGTGTGTGTGTGTGGGGGGGGGGGGGGGGGGTAGGAGAACGTAGAGACGAAAGCAGACGACAGAAAATGGTCAAGAGAGCAGGAATGGTAAAAGGTTGACATTTTTAGGAAAGAAAAGTTTCCATCACTGTCAGGTTGTTGTTGTTTTTACCTGGGACCTATTGAATGAGAGGCGAACACCGTACCTATTGTCCACGAGAGCCCCCATGGTCTCCGCGTGTGTTACTGGAAAAATAGGCGGCACAAGAGCCAGGGGAAGGCCAAGCAAAACCAACGGAAAGAACGTATATTTGTCACCTTAAACACAAGAGGGATATCCCGAAAAATGCTGTTTTGAGAAAATCGAAGGTAAATTTTATGGACCCTCGTTCAGTTTCTTTAAAAGACAAGAAGGGTTTTCTTTATAACCAAACAAATATACGCACCAATGAACAGAGCTGCAAGCTCATCTCTGCTGTGGAACACGCTGTCAAACTTTGAAAAACGACATTTTCTCTTTAGGATTTCTCAGCTGACTACAACTACTATATAAATCTAGATCTAATATGGCTCTGTTCGTTTGTGCGGACAGTCAGTCTAGCATAAGATGGTCTCAAGGTTGTCTTCATGCAGCTTCTTTCATGGCTAATTCTTCCTATGTTTGAAGCGCAGATTCTGTGGCAGTGCTTGCATGTCAGTGACGTAGATCGAAGCTACTACTACTATGACTGCAGTTCTACAATGATAGCAAAAGAAACCCCGACAACAAGCAGAATACTTACATGACATGGCGACGAAGCTGAGACACAGGAGAAGAACCAAGTATTTCATGATGTCAGATGTGCGGATCGTTAGTTCCTGGCTTGACAGTTATTGAATCGTATCACATCTGCAGGTGCCGACTCCTGGGTTTTTATATCACACAGCTGCTGGGCACCTACTCGGATCCTGCACTATTCGATTATATAATCGTCTTCACCCGTATCCGATTAATTGCGTCCAGATACATGCCCATCTGTTAGATCGACAGCTTGTTCACTTTCGTCTGATCGCGTTGAAAAGATTTTCGCACATTTAAGACGTTACCTTAGCCCAAGAAAACGTTAGATCAACACGGCACTTCTACGGGCCAGCGACCATACAAAAATAGTTTGCCCAAAAATCTGGATCCAGTAATAAAAGAGACTTTTTTCTTCGGGCCCTATTACATGCAAAATCTACTCTTTGGATGAAAACACAGTATCACTTAAATAAATGGCTTACAGTAACCTTGCCAACAACTTGCTCATTTTGAGACAGCGACACCATCCTGCCCCTACATTTCAGTGTAAGCTTGAAGATTTCATCCCCCGGCTGTCTAGACGTCTCCACGTGCTCCACGTGAGTCTAAAAAATTACTCACCCCGTCTCTTGAATTGTGTTCCTTGGGCGAACTTAAAGTGCTTTAGGTGTATGCTGTAAATCCCCTATTATTTGTATTTACCCGCTTTAGGCTTACATCAAAGAAAACGTTTACAGTGACCGTTCTGAATGGGCACTTGGATTCTGTTGATCATCCAACTTTATGTTTGTTTGTTTGTTTAGTATAGGGTTTTACGGCGCTCGCAACTGCATAAGGTCATATGAGCGCGAGGGACACACCTAATACTTTTTCGTTGGTAGGAAATTTTTAATTTTGCCCGGGTGGCGGCCGAAGCCTACTCTTATCGATTTTAGACC